GCCCCCCCCCCCGCGCTTGCCTGCTGGCTGCTGGGGAACTCCTTCCTTCTTGACTGGCCATCGGGGGCACACTGACCCACAAAGATTGAAAACCCCAGGTATTATATAATTATAGTATAGTAACATTATAGTAACAATTTAAAGTGCTAATAAATGTGAAATTCAGATTAATTTTCAAATTGACATTGTGGGAGTGTATGCATGTCTACAATAGTAATTTACCATGCTAAAAAGTTAACAGTTACCTCACTGCTTGGCACACTGCTGCTTCTACTTGAAGTACTGTGGCCACATTTATTCTGCTCTTCCCCAACCTGTGTAGTTCTGCTCACCTCACCGCTGCACTCAGGTGGCTATTCTATTTTCCAGCCAGCCGGTAGCATGCAAGAGGCAGTGGGAACTGTTTCAACACTGCTGCCTGACGCTGTGAATTAGCAGTTTAGCCATTCTCTTTTTTCCAACAATGGCTTGTGACTGGAAACAACAGTGATCTTTGATTCCCAATTGGAAGTACTATAAAGAGGAACTCAACTTCAGAAAGCTGCTGAACAACCCACTCCTTGAAAAACAGGCTTTTTAAAAGTGTCACCAGTTTATTATGTGTTTGTACAGTGCCTGATGTAACAGAACTCAGTCTAGTTGTAACCTTCAGGCATTTTCATCACACTGTAAATGTTAAATACTAATAATAAATGTTAAGGAGAAGAAAATAAATACTGTAGCAATCCTGTCATTGCAAATACTTTTAAGTACAAAGATTAAAAACTGAAGCCAAAGGGAACATTTAGATTGAAGACTTAGGAGATCAGATATCCATGTCATCTTGCTTTAAGATTCTGACCAACATATTGCAATAAGGAATTGCCTCCATAACTGCCAGTGTGTGAAAGCTCTGTAGGCTCGCTGGACTCTGCAGTTGCCAAGGCTGTTTCTGCTTGTAAAGATGGAAATGGCAATAATAATCACTCCTATTTGCAGCTATACAGTGCCATTTTAGAATCCTACACCCACCCGAACCATCTTTTTCAGACCTGGCAAATCTTTAAACATTCTAAAACAAAAGCAACTTCTTGAGGGGGAGAATATAGAAGATGGCATTGGTTATCCAATTCCATTTTTGACAAGTTTTCACCTGGATACATTTTCTGAATAGACTGGGTTTACAGTTAATGAGTCAATTTACAGTTGAATGAGGCAGAAATGATATTTAACAATGTAAATGTTAGAAGCTGGACTAGAGTTGAAAAGAAGTTGGGTCCGTGAGAAAACATTTTAAACATAATACATGGGAGTCATTGTAGTCTAAAACTAGTCCAGGCAACTAGACTAGAATGTACCATAGGGAAGAATCCTGCCCGCCCTAAGGAGAAATGATCAGGATGACCGAATAGGTATTTTCCATTTCAAGTTTCCACGACTTGCAAGGTAATTATTATAGCATTTCATACAATTAGAAGAGCACAATAAATATTAAAATGAATATACTGCATGTGGAATGACTGATTTTTAGTTATTTCTCTTGTACTAAATGATTGAAAGATGAACAGATGTACTAAAGCCATTTTTCTACAATGCTATACTTTCTTTTAAACAAAGCCTTCAGTTAAGTGCTATGAAAGAAAGGAAACAGAGACTGACTCATAGAAAACTGAGATCACTTCTTGGATTTCATATGAGTGTGAATATTTAAAGTTGACATTATGAAGGTTATGAAATGTTTTTTTGCTGTGCCACAAGTGAATCATTGATACTGACAGGAAGAAAATGACTACATGTGGAGAAAATTAGCTGTATTATTGACATATTTGGGCTTTTTTCCCTTTTTTCCTTAATTTTGTCTGTTTCTCTCTTTTCTTCATTCCTCTTTCCCTCCCAGGGTAAATGGGAAATTGGTGGCACTGAAGGTGATTAGATTACAAGAAGAGGAAGGAACTCCATTTACAGCTATCAGGGAAGGTATGCACTCATGTTTAATGATTGTTCACGGTTTTTGTTATAACATTGCACTCATTCTTTTCAATGCCACGCTATATTGAATAGCATGAGACTTTAAATTATATGGTTATGTTTCCTGTAGGAGGAGATTTTGGTACTTTAAAAATCAAATCCTCCCTCCAGCGTAGGAGTTTTTGTTAAAAAAACAAATCTGTGCCCCTACTTTGGCTTGTCTATAAGACCTGCTAGTGGGTGCAAATGACATCGTGAATACAGCATGTGTGTGTTTGGGGTGGGAGTAAGAGTGTCACTGATAAGATTTGAAGAAGTTTGATTCAATAGCAATGTTTATTATGAAGCTGCATCTAAAATAAGGATTGATTTAACTTTTTATTTACTTGAGGTTGCATTCCATGACTATTTCCCTCTTTTTTCACTGAGGTCTTGTAAGGTTCAGGGATAAATATGGTAACCCCTTTAAAACCAATGCTGACTGATTTATCTTCTTAGTTAACTTCCTGTGCATGGTTTCATTTGTTGTTTTGCCCCACTGACTCTGTTCTGTCTGGCTTAGGAATGACTCTTATCTAGCTGAGTATGAGAGGTCTGTTCATGCTTTCTGCTCCACTCCCTTTATCCTTCCTTGTCAGCCTCTGCAGTGTTCCCCGATGACAGCTTCTTTATCTGAGCTTGGCTGCTTCTAACTCTTTTTCAGAAGTCAATGTACATGTCTTCTTTGTACAGACCCACTCTGTTAGAAGGCCCACTCTGTTAGAAGGTACTAAAGATGGGCATGGGGGGATGAAATTACAAACAATATACCATGCGGTCACTGATTTAAGTTCAGCTAAAGTAGCTGAACTTTTTTTACAGCTATTCAGTAGTCTGGCTAAAGTATGTTGATAACCTCAGTGTAATTGCCAGAATAGGGAAGAGGGTCCAAAGTACATCGAAACATCAGCCAGGATTGGTATTTTTGTATTGGCAGAATAAGGCAAACCTTTCTTAAGACTGAGCCAACTTCATCATGAAGGTGATCCCCCCAGGAAGGGGGAGAGGGGAATGAAAAGAGACTCAGTGGGGTCATCTACACATGTGCTTTACTGTGGAGTCGACTAATTAGCTAATTAATTCTGCCATAGGATAGTACTGCCTGATACAAATACTATTCTATGGCAGAGTTATTTAGTGTACTGCAGTGCATATGCAGACAGTGACCAGAGCTGGCTAATACACAACAGTGCTACAGTGCAGTGGCTGCCTACTGGCTAGCCCTGTACTGTAGCACGCTTGAGCCCCAGCCAGCCTCTCCACAGCACACTGAGCTGGGGCAGAGCAGCTCTGGGCTGGCAGGCTGAGCCCCTGGACTCTGTCAGCTGAGTCTGTGCTGCCATGGCTCAATATGTAAATGCTGCACCCATGAACAATAAACTTTGGTGCAAACTGTGCTGGAGTTTATTCAGCCTTGCTAATTGCATGTGTAGATCCGCTCAGTGATACGCTGTTGTAATGCTATTGTGATGCAGGTCTGCCATTCTCTTATCTGTAGTACTGTTTGAATAATAACAGAGTAATCTCAGATACATACATTTTTCAGTGTAAATATAAATAATATTTACTTTTAAATAGTTTGCTTATGGGGTCATATTGATAACTGGGTGTATGTAAGACAGCTACTTCAAATGTTAATATCATACTGTGATTGAGCTGCTAATATTTCAAGTCTAATTTTTTTGCAAGTTGTTAGTGAATTTAGTACACATTAAACTCTCTCGCCCCCCCCAACAAGAACCTCCC